CCAAACCCAACAGGAAGGGGTTTGGAGGTACCCCATGCTGTCAAAGTCCTGCTCCAGAATGGACACCTGGAGATTTATACAGATTTCAACAAAAAGTTAAGTGAGGGGGGGGGGGAGGGGGCTACACCCCAAAGTCCCAATTCGGCTCCAAATTATAGAATCTGAGTTGTAGGCATTTTTAGCTTCCTCAGCCTCTCCTACAACTATACATAAGAACCCCCCAAAACCGTATTTTTTCCCTTACCGGGCATGTTTGTCACCACCATTTCCTCATGAAGTCAATATTTTCTTTTTCTTTATCGGTCTTTTTCTCAAAACGCGACTTTTCTTTATGTTTTTTGTTTTTGTAACGTGTTTTACGGCGCTCGCAACTGCATAAGGTCATATGAGCGCGCGGGACACACCTAATATTTTCAGTTGGTAGGAAATTTTGAATTTTGCCCGGGTGGCGGCCGAAGCCTACTCGTATCGATTTTAGACCACCAAGGGTTCTTTAACGTGCGCAACTTGCACACGGGCCCTCCGAGTTTTTTCGCCCTTGTCCGAGAAGGCTAGGTGTAGATCTTTCCTACCAGAAGATCAGGGGTGTGGCAGAAAGACAGCAGTAAGGAGGAGCCAAGGAGTAGCAGTAGAAAGGCTGTAGAAAGAGTCAGGAGCCCAGAGGAGGGGGCAAAGGGGGTGAGGGGGTGGGGGCAGAAAGTGGAAATGAAAGCAGACAACAGAACATTGGTAGATAGCAAGAAAGGATGTGAAAGGAGACAATTTTAGAGAATAAAATTTTTTGGCCGCTACCCGGATTCGAACCCGGGACCTTTGAATGAGAGGACAACACCTTAACCTCTAGGCCACGAGAGCCCCCACTTTTCTTTATACTGTTGTGAATAACTCCACCATTTTTCATCCAATCTTCATGAAATTTTCACAGAATGAAGAGAAGATGTAATACAAAAAATTTGTCTGTTGAATTTTTGATATATGGAATAGATCTAGATTTTGTTCTGTCTGGAGTGTGGATTTTCACGGATTTTTTGCAAACTTGAATGCTACCTCAGAAAAAAATTCATTAAAAAATGTTCTAATTCGTTGAGGAAAAAAACAAAACAACAGACTATTTTTTAGATCTAATGTTTGTGAAAACGCTTGCAAAAAAACCCCAATCAATTTCCAAGAGCAATAAGTGCGGTATTCATTACGTCAGACATGTCAACAAAATCCAATATGGCCGCCGTATCCTTGGAAACAAACTTTGTTCTCAAATTTGATTGCGGTTTTTAAGACTCCTTACAATGCTTGTTATATGTGTGAAATTTGGTAAAATTTGGTCCAGTAATAAGCGAGATAGCCTTCAGGTGTAGCCCCCCCCCCCCCCCTTCCCCTTAAGGACCACTTTGACAGACAGTCCTAATTTTTAAAAATATCCGGGGGAAAAAAGACTGCCAGGAATGTTTCAAAATGTTCCCTCTGATACTGATAGTGTTAATGGTTACCAAAGCGTACTTGTACTGCAAAGCCATCCAAAAGGACTGAAACCACCACGTGCAGCACGGAAATCCTCGGGGAATTTTAGCCAAATTTGCTGATTTTTATCGACTTGTGTGCGACACCAAGGACTTTCCTCAGTTAAAATTTCTGGTGCACGTCATAAACAGACGTACGGTCTCGAACTGTTCTCACTTTGGTGGCAATATAAGCCACAGTTTGAGCGAAATCCGATATCGCATCAACATACCGCCAAGACGAAAGCTGAGAGACTTTGATTGTACCAGAGCTATGGCATGGCTGCAGGATGGAGTTGGAGCCCGAGAAGTTGCCAGAAGGCTTGCAGTGTCACACTCTGTCATTGTCCGCCTGAGGCAGCACCATCAAGCCACTGGACCAGTCCAAAAACGACCACGTGAAGGTCGACCCGAGAAGACCACTCAGAGAGTTTGCAAGTGGTCCTACTTGTTTACTTGTGTGAAGGACCGACATCACTGCTCAAGGGACATCCCCATAAGCGCTCCGTCCCCTGAAGAAGCACACGTCGAAGTGTGTAGATGCTGACGGCTCCAAGCAATGGTTGATTCCATAGCCTTCTGCTCCTCCCACTCAGTCTTGAACTTCTGCAGGCGCCCCATCCAATTCCAAGCTCACGAAGTCGCTCAAGATGATGGTATTCCAACTCTTCGTGTTCTTTTTCTCTTTTTTCCTTGACTGAGAAATGAAGCTGTGCCTTGACAAACCTGAAATTGTACGTTCTGTCAAGGGAACACGAGAAAAAGAACAAGTGGTCCTAACTTCTGTTGAAGTCTGTATAATAATATTATTATACATATAAATATAATAGAATGTATTCAATGAATATCCTGTGGGGAAAAATTATTTGCTTAGAATGTTACAGTTCAGATACACCTGGATGAGGCAAAAGGCGCCCCACCCGGTAGGCTAATGCGGGGTGCTCACTACGGATGGGATCGGCCGATTGGACTGATCGCCCGACTTGGTCGCCTCAAAAACAAACGTGTTTGTTTTCCGTGTTTCACGCAGCCGAGTCGGGCTATCGGCCCGATCCAGCCGTGGTGGGCACCCCGTCGTAAAGATTCTCTACTACTTCACGACCTTTGGTGTCGACACAACCGACGCAACGAACCGACAACCAGGACGTCGCGACTCGGGGTACGTGCATGCAAGATACGCCTCTTCCACCACTACCACAATAGGTGTGTGTGTGTGTGTGTGTGTGTGTGTGTGTGTGTGTGTGTGTGTGTGTGTGTGTG